GAAATATCCAAAGACTTTTAATATTAATATTTTAATTAAAGTTAAATAAAAAAATTTATTAAAATAATAATATTATAAATCAAATCAAATTAATTACGAACCGTTCAAAGTCTTATTTTTTGTAAGAAATACATGACACATAAAAAAAAATGCATTACGAAATATTTGGACTCCGCTGTTAGTGAAAAGCATAATAACTTTATTTTGTAAATACATGGTAAATCATGAAAAATTATTATTTGAGCATATGTATCTTATCTAATTTGCAAAATTTTGTTAGATTTGATAATCTTAAATAGATATAAAAAAATAATTTAAAATTTTAATAAAAATTATATAAAATTTGATAAAAATAAAATATATTTTTTATATTTAACTAGTTTATATAAATTTAATACGATAATTTTTATATTTTATACATAATTAATATAAAATAAACACAATAAAAGCATATGAATTATTAATTTTATAAAAATTGATTGGGATGCTAGTAAAAATATTAGACACTTAGAAATATCGCACGATTTTGGTATTCATTTTCTTTAAGCAACGATTCTTTGCAATCTAATTTATCAGAAAAAAATTTACAGATTATTTAGAAAGGTTTCGTGGGGTCCTATGTGAGATTGAGCAGACTTAAATGACCAATCAATTGAACTGTTTCCGCTGTCGGATTTGGCTTTTCCGTCGTTTTTTCTGCTGCAGAAGTCACTTTTTGCTTTACAGTTCAGGTTTGAGTTATATAAACTAAAAACCTTTGAACTGAAGTTTCTGAACTGCTCTACCAACAAAACAGATCTAAGATGTTTTTCAATTTCCTCTTCCAAACTCAGTGGATAGTTAATTACATACTTGTGCCAGATTCAGATTTCTTAAAAAAAATTGTGATTTTTGATGATGTGTTCCTGGAGATGATTTTGTAAAGAGAGATGAATATATATATATGTATGTATGTATGTATGTATGTATGTATGTATGTATGTATGTATGTATGTATGTATTTTCCATGGATTTGGTGTAACGTATGCACAAATCAAGAGAAATTGTTACTGGATGCCCAAAAATCAAAGAACCAACAACTTAAATTATGCTCCATCGATAGCTTTAATCACTCTGGGAAAAAACTCAGAAAGTACATCTGGATGAAAAAAATGATATTATATCAGATAATTTCATTTGTTCCCAAAAGCTCCAACTATGTCAAGTACTTTGGCAGACGAAACAATTAAATAGGGAAAGACAAATGTTGTTGTTGCAATTATCCAAACAAAAGAAATGAAGTTGTGTGAAGTTCAGAAGAAAATTGACATCCGACTTCAATCACATAAGCAGTTCAATTTCAATTCTGCATGCACGATGCGTTTGGAAAGACTTTTTCCACACCTTCCTTTCACTCCCTTTTGTTGAATGTGTAGAGCACTCTTTATGATTGAAAAAGGCCTGTTATCGATCTCTGATAGTTCCGAAAAGCTGAAATCGGTGTTTCAACCATTAACTGATACGAAGAGTATGAACAATGTAAGATCATCCTCTATGCTGCTTTGACAATCCAAAATTTAAGATGAATTTCCTACAAAGACATTCATCCTCTTGCTGAAGACAGTAGTAGACCGCTTGAAATTTTCATGGAGCATAATCTTGACAAAAAGCAAGCTTCTAAGTTAGCTCCTATACAGAATAAATCTAGATGCAGAAGAAACGTAACTAACCAGCAATAATAAACTCAAATTTGCAACAATATCTTATAACAGGAAGCAAATGAGGACTCATGACGCATACCTCAAATAGCAACCGGAAGCCTAGAATGCGATGAAGAACAATTGAAGATCACTATTCACAAGTTTGCACGTTCATACTTTGTATTCCAGAAAGCAGAAGTGACCTGTATTATGGAAACATAACTTTCAGCACTAAATAGAGAAGCAATAATGTTAACCTTAGTTCTGCCTGACTTCAGTGGAAAAGAATTTATTCAAGTTACAAAATATTTTCTAATTGAACGGTGCACTAATGACTTAACCTAGTCGGCATGGCATGTTTAACTTCAAACTAGTATGAGATTTCCTGGAAAATGACCTTCAGAATTTTGATAATAATGATTAGTTAGCGCCACAAGTTACCTGCATTTGATTTGTTGTAGGTCTTTTAGTGGAAAGCCAAAGAAGAGTATACCAGATAGGATATCTGTTAAGAATGGGTGAAATACTTTTAATTGGCCATTAAGAAGTTAAAGAGGAAAGAAAAAAAAAAAAAAACGGCAAGTAATAAGACACAAACAGTTGTGATCCTTTAGATACAACAAAGAGCACATCTTTATAAACCCACATAAACCACAAAGTTACCCTGCCTTTGTCAAGTTTTGTCAGAAGCTGAGATCTACAAAGTCCAAACTTCACTAATACATCTCAATAACTTGAAAAGCTCTGAAACGACAATAGAAATAGTATTAAAAAGTATGCTTATAAAAACAGTATTAAAAAGAACTAAGAAATTCAGTCACCATTGACAGTGAAATAATGGACATGACCAAGTAATATAACCTCAATGAAAACTTATAAACAGAAGAAAAATGACCTGTCCAAGTCTATTTCATTTCATCACAGGGCTGTTGATTTTCAAGCAGAGCATGTGAAGAATTGGGTGAAATTCTTTTCACTCTCCTCTAGAACCCACAAGAAAAGAAAATTTTTTTAATTTGCTGGAAACAAAGCAATGTTAAAATCCCATTTTGTGATATGAAATGACTACCAAAATGCAACATTCAAGAGAAGTCAATAGCTTAAAATTTTCACTGATCTAGGAGTTGATAACACATTGTTGTTTCCTGAAAAAAAAAAGTGTCATAGTAAAGTGAAGAAACAGGACAAACTGACATTTTTCTCCATTTTGACAAGAATTGATGCTTGTTATGCAAGTACTTGACGCCAATCTTTGCCTTTCTTTCTTCAAAGAATGGATGCCTATTGCACCTTCTTCTCCATCAGAATCTATAAAGGCAAAAACAAATATACTCTAAAGTCAATTTAAGTAAATGAAATGAATTCAGAAGTGAACGTATATGAAAATAATTAAGAAGTGAATCAAACTAAATGTATAATAATCAATTATTGACAGATAAATTTCTCAATCCATCACATAAGATGGAATTAAAAGGAAAAAGGAAAGAAAAGCTACCTGTTTTACCTCATATTTGAAGCTACAGCTTCTCTTTCTTCAACCTTTTAGTTTACAATAAAATGATGAATGTGTTAAACAGAACAGGCTAGCAAGCCTTCAGAAAGATGATAAGAATTAAGGTTGATGCCATGCTTATGAATCACAGTCGGTAACACAAGATGGTTGCAAAAAGCCTCAAATCTGGCAAGAACATAAGAATAAAAAACCTGGTAAAAGTTCAAGAGATAAGTGACAACAATGGTCAATACATGCAATATACAAAACACATGCTACGTGAAAGAAGTTCCAGAAGATGCAAATAACCAAAGCCACATTAAATAGGGAAAAATGGAAAATGCTACTTTACACCTTGTGCAGACAAAGCAATCCCTCAAAAGGCAGCGAATCAAATTCAACCAACTCAAATTCATAGATTGCTGCAACTGGAAGTTAACCCACGAACTGTCCCCAATCATTATTCTCAAGTTTCATTGAAAGGACAAGACCTCAATTAGCTTATTTAAGTATAGTTCTTCAAGATAAGAGGATGACCCCACATTCTTCATTGTCTTCAGATAAACCTGTTCCTGGCAATTCAGGATTTGTTAAAACCTTAATGCTTCATTTGAAAATAATTATTTGAGAGGATACATTTGAATTTTATTTGTTGTTCATTTTTGTGAGGATGAGTGTAGTCATTAGATTTAAGAGAGTATAAAAGGATGTATTTGGAACACATTATTCAAGAGAAATTTTATAACTCCATGTATTTGAGTGTAATTATATAACTCATATGTTTTAAATCCAAATTCATCTTCTCAAATGTAGATTTCCAAATGAAACTAAAATTTGATGTAATCTACATGGCTTAGGTGCTTAAAGAACGTACCGATGGAAGTTAGGATCCACAGTTACTACTCAGTAAAACCTTCGTCAACTGTAGAGCTCTTTCAAAAGGAACAGCTGTCCAAGTTGTTTGAGTAGTCCTTGAACTGAAATACTGAATGAATCATTATGTTAAGCAAGACAGTGCTCCTGACATGAACTAAAGAATATGGAGCCTCTGATTTCATAACTGTACAAGAGAAGAATTGAAATCCTTTTTCTTTATTGAGTTGAAATTTGAGCACATCATCATTGCAGCTCTAGGAAATCCAAATCTGAAACAAAATACGCTGAGCTGGATGCCAAGCCATTGATGTATTGAAAACTTTCATGCTGGTAATTCTGGTATAAAAAAAATGAAGTCATGAATCTCCAGGCTGAACAAATCATTTGACAAGAACTTCAATTGAATGGGAATCATAAATTAGAATTTGCAATCATACCCAAATGAAGGGAGTCGGAAGGCGATAAAACAATTTGTAGCAAATTAAGCACCAACTTAAACATTCTATCTCTACTAGGGCCTCATAGAGGATTCATACTTCCAATATGAACAGGGTAGCATAATTCAATAATTGGAGATGAATTTGTTGGCCAAAGTGTCATAGAGAAGCATCACCTCTACAAAGTTTTACACAACATTCATCCAAGATTGTTATCACAAATGTTTGAGTACTTCTTTCCCTTTCTAAAATCTGTTTAAATCTACCAGTATTTTCCTTTAGTTCTATACTCTTTTCTATACCATCTCCGATACCAAATACACAAGCTATTCCTAATCAAGAAAGAGAAAAGCAAACATTAAAATTTTTTCAGTGTCTGGTTCTTATCTTAGCTCCTGACGATTACCTAAAAGAATATTTGAAAAAAAATTATCCAGCCTGCTATGAGACTTTTTATGAAAGTCAACAGAACAAAGCAAAGAAAAACATAGCAGTAGTACAAACATGTAAGCCTGTGATAAGAGAAATGACCTGTAACTTTGAGGCCATGAAGTTTTGAAGGAAGTAGGGTTGTTCTGCTGCCAGTTCTGAGCAAAAGAATCAAAAGCATCAGATACATTTCCGTCATCTTCTCCTGCATGTCTGTTAAACACTTGCTCCTCATCTTGCCCATCTTCACTCTCAGTGTAGAACTTCTGATCTGAAACCAAGTTCTTCTTTGTCTTCTAATCCCACTCTCCTATGGCAAAAATTATAAAAACTCAAAACACATTTTATAGTTAAACGAGGTTAATCATAAGAAGGAATTGAATTCAAAAAGTTGTGAAATAAGATGAAAAATCGCATATTCAACCAACTCAAATTTGCAACAGAATTTTAGAAGCAACAGGAAGCAAGTCATGAGGCATTCATCAAATAGTAATTGGCAATCTGGACGAGAAAGCACTGCAATTGAAGATCACTAGTTGCAAGTCTACTTTGTTTCGCAAAAAGCACAAGTCACTAACTAGAGAACATCAATGTTAGCCTTAATTGGTCTTGAATTCATTAGAGCAACCACAACAGTATTGGCACAAGTAACAAAATTTCTTCTAATAATTGTAAAATTGTGCACTAAGGCTTAACCTAGTTTCCATAGCTTTTCAGTTTCAAACTAGTATAAATTTCTTTAATAAGGACCTTCAAATTTTTGATGATAATAACAATGATAATGATAATAATAATAATAAGTGGCACAAGATACCTACATTTGATTTGTCGTAGCCTTGTAGGTCATTTAGTGGAAGACCAATAGAAGAATATACTAGATGGAGTATCTGCTAAGAATGAGGTTAAATACCTTTTAATTAGCTATTAAGAATTTAAACAAAAAAACGAAGAACGGGAAGGTCATGGTACAAAACGTAGCAATCTTTGTAGAGTGAATCCACAAAATTACACAAAAAATGTAGTAGGAGGTAAAATTATATAAAAAAATAAATTAATAAATATGGAATCCTCAATCTAATTAAGTAGTAAATTTGACCCTTATCACTATACAATTCATATATTCATGAGTATTATTAACAATGCAATCTAAAATTTCATGAAAGTAATTTTCACCCTCGTAATTTCATGAAGAATGAAGAAACATGAATTAAATAAGTTCTAAAAGTGGAATACAAAAATAGATAAATACTACATAATCCACAGTTTAGATTAACTTTGCAAATAGCAGAGAAAGCAGTAATATGACCTGAGGGCTGAGACGGATTGCGTACTTTTTAAAAGAAAAGACAATAAATAGAGAATGGAAGAGTACCTAAGTGAAGCTATAGAATGACTTCATCGTCAATTTTAATGATAGGAATGTGGGAAATGTTGGGCCAATCTGTACCTGTCTCCTTTTTGCAACGTTTTCTCAGCAAAGGACACTCCCGAATGTGTAGATAAGAAAGAGAGTCAGGGAGCTTATTTTGCGGCATGGATTGGAGTATCGGACATGTGTAGATCAACAAATCGCGGAGAGAGGTGAGGTGCTGAAAGCCCTTGCCATTCAAAAGCTTAAGATTTGAAAGACCCCGTATCTCAAGATAAGTAAGAGAAGAGGGCAGCAGATGTTCATATGGAAAACACTCTATCTGTCTGGCACTTGAGATGTGGAAGCTTGTAAGTGAAGGGAGTGCTTGCAAACTCCATTCCCTCCTCATCATGCCCGCAAACAGCTTATTACTTTTGTGGACAAAAATAGCTTTTAATTTGGAAGGCAAACCCGTTCTTGGAAATGACTCTATTTCTCGACAATAGGATATCCCCAATGCCCGAAGAGATGGGAAAAGGGAGTGCATATGCTCTGGCAATGACTTTAAATTTACGCAAGAGAAAAGCATAAGTGATGTTAAATTGGTGGCAGATAATCCCTCTTCAATTTGAAAAGATATCAAATTAGGGCAACCATTGATATACAAAGAATTGAGACATGCGAGATGCCGGTGATGAGGCCCGTCTAATGCACCAATCCACTTCAAGTTTCCACAATCCCAAATAGAAACATCATTTAGCGTAGGGAATGATCCTAATGGGAAGGATTCCAGTGGATGACACCCGCCTTCTATGTACAAGGATTCAAGAAATTTAAACAAGAAGATTTTGGAATAATCCAAGACACGACACCTTTGGATGTTCAATTTCTTTAGCTTGTTAGGCAGACTACCTTCAGGAAGGGAACAGATGTTAGAACAATCCCACATCACTAACTGTTCAAGCCGAGTGCAGTGTTGCATCATCGTCTCCAATATGGAATCAGTTATATGCGAATTGTAAATTCCCAGCCTTCGTAGCCCACAAGGCAATGGCTCCAATTGCAATCCATCACATCTCTTTAAATCAAGTTGGCAAATGCTTGGTGCCCTTGGAAGCATGCCTCCAAGCTTCTCACAATTTCTAATCTCAAGCTTCCTTAATAAAGAGAGGTGCCTGGGCAGAGACTTGGTTAGCTTGGGACATTTTCTTATGCTTAGCTCTTGTAGAACAATGAAAGCTTCATGATCTCTCGAACAAAACCATTCTTCCCACTCTGGCATATCCTCAAATCTTAGAATTTCAAGAGATCCAAATGGTTTAGTGGAAGCATGACCATTCCCATAGAACTCATCACCCACTGTTTCTACTCTAGCAAACCCTTTAACTGAGAGAGATTTCAAAGATGATAGTTGGCCAAGCGGTGGCAAGGAGAAGCAATATTTGCAATCACGTAACTCCACAGATACTACATTTGAGAATGAAGAACGCCCCACCCATTCTGGAAATCTTGTACCTCTATAAAACCTAATGACAAGATGCTCCAAGTTTGTATGAGGCTCCAGTTGTTCAAGTACTTCTCTATCATGCTTTGAATCATAATCAATAAGATCAACCCTAGTCCATATCAACTCCAACTCCTTAAGGTTCATCTTATTCTTCAAATTGGCATCTTTGGCATCCCTTGCACTGACAACATTTTGCAAACCTGAAATAGCAAGTCTTCCACATAAATGCTCCAGCTTTCCCAACTCATTAATGCTTGAACCATTGCCTAAAACAAAATCTGTTAATGTCCGAAGGTCTTTCAATTTGCCCATTCCTTGTGGCATCATTACTAGCTTTGTTCTCCGAATATTGAGATGGCGCAAGTTGATCAATCTTCTCATATCTTTGGGCAACTCAACAAGGTAGAAACATCGAAACAATAGTAATGTTTGCAAATAGTACAATGTACTCATAGAGTTGGGCAAACATTTTATTAAAGTATTCGAGAGATCCAAATAACGCAAATGCTTCAATTGATCAATTTCTTCTGGCAACTCATTGATATTATCATATTTAGCCAAAGAAAATACCCGTATGTATCTAAATTTGACTATCAAATCATGCATTAAGTGGCTGGTAACATAAGAAGGCCATGAAGATGACTCTAAAGTTAAGAATGTTCGTAAACTTTTTGCTTTGGATAACGTCTCAAATTTCTTAAGCACATCATATTTTTTTTGGACATTGGACAAATGACGAGTGTTTCTGGTTATTTCACTAGAATCACCGCTAGTATCCAATATGCAAGAAAATTCTCCAGCTAAAGATTTAGCCAAGTCACTAATTAGATCATGCATGACAAAGCAAGATTTATCCCCACTTAATTGTTGGAAAAATGACCTCAACATTAAGTCTTTGAAGTACTCGTTACCTCGTTCTTCTGCATTGCCATTTTCTTTGGAAAACTGTAAAAGACCTTCAGCCATCCATAATCGAATGAGTTCTTCCTTTTTGAATTTATAATCTTTAGGAAAAATTGAACAATACGCAAAGCAACGCTTCAAATGAGAAGGAAGATAATAATAACTCAATCTCAATACCGGAAGAATAGTACCTGAGTCATCTGGTAGGTCCCACAAATTGCTGTGTAATATTTTATCCCATTCATCAGCATCTGGTTTACACCGCAGGAGACCTCCGAGTGCTTTTGCAGCTAAAGGAAGACCTTTGCATCTCTTGGCAATTGCTTCGCCGATTCCCTTCAAATTTGGATGCATGCTTGGGCTTGTATTGACAAATGCATGTTTTGCGAACAGTCGCCAACAATCATCTTCAGATAAGATATTAAGACGATAAGTTGGAACGTTCTGCATGATTGATGCAACGTTTTCATCACGTGTTGTTACAATAATCTTGCTATTCTTTGCCCCAGAAGTGAAAGGACTTTTCAATTCTTCCCAGTCAACATATCTCTTGTGCCAAACATCGTCTAAAACGAATAGAAACTTCTTTCCCGACAGCTTCTTCTTTAGTTCAAGTTGAAGCTTGTTGAGATTCTTACTATCATCACAGCTACAATTGATCTCATCAAGAATAGTTTTGGTTACCTTCAAAGCATCAAATTCCTCTGAAACACAAACCCATGCTTTGAGGTCAAACCATTCCTCCACTTGCTTGTCATTGTAGATCAATTGTGCAAGGGTGGTTTTCCCAATCCCGCCTATACCCACAATAGGTATCACATCCATCTGATTGTCACTTGCATATTCTGGGTCCAGCAATTTCAGTATTGCTTCTTTTTCATCATCTCTGCCATAAACACCAGATTCATCCACCGAAGAAGTTGGACGGGATCTTTGAAATGCCTTTTCTCCTCTAAATTCTTTCAAACGGAGGGTGTCTTTTTGGTTGACTAGAGATTCTAGTCTCCCAAGGATCTCATCCAGCCTTGACTCCATCGGCTCTTTGAAAAGATTGAGAGAAGAGAAAAAGCGACTTACTTGCTTTACAGTACAAGTTTGATCCATCCTGTTTCGAAGAGCTTCAGCATCGATCTCATCGAGGAGGTCCTCCGCATCGTACACAGCATCTTTGAGCTCATCAATCCAGCTTCTGACATTCGGGTCGGTAATCTGCTTATTTTCAGCATCATCCAGCACTGCATTAACAGACATGAGCATTGACTTCAGTTTCTTAAGAAGGCCATCTTCAAGTTTCTTTCCCCTAACGAAGTCCAAGACCTCACGAGAAGCCATCCAGTCGAAAATAACTTGGAGGGAAGCAGAGAGGAAAGCTCCACCCACCAAAGCCCCGGCCATTTTTTTTGTATTATCTGGTAAAGAAAGGTTTGAAGGAAGATAAAAAGGGTAGTGATTGCAAACAATGAAATGAAGAGTGGTGAAGGTCTATGCGTATGCGGTTCAGTCTACACTTATAGGCAAGGGGAATTCGTTGCCAACAACGTTAGGATGAAAATGATTGATAACTACTACTATAAAATAATACATACAAATTGGTGGTGGATTACACGTAATTTCCATGAAAATATTATAATTTATTTGTTCCATTTACATTTTACGTTAGAAAAAAGGCACAAGGCTAATAACATCAAATAATACAAATTTGATGTGATCTTTTTGTTATTTTCTAGTAATTTTCTTATAATGCAATGGAACCTGCAATTAGGAATAGAAATGATTTCGCCTGCTACAATTGTCACTTTCTTTAAAACTTTTTTCATCTCATTAATTATGATATGGAATAGAAGTTGAATCAAATCCCAAAATATAATGAAATTTAAGTTTGATTTACTTTGCATTAAAAGAAACAATCCACTAAACATTATTTAGTGAGAAACAAAAGTGTTTTGTCTTCAAAAATTTTTTTTGCTGTAAAAATACTAAAGCAATTAACCTTTTTGGAGAAAATTGGGGGAAGTTAAGGTGTGATTTAAAATTAAATTGAATTTCAAATAAATTTACGTCAATTTTTATTTATAAAAATTTAATTTAAGGTTGTAAATTTTAGATTATATTGTTTCAATCAAATATCATTTTTTTAATTAAAAATATGTTTTTTTGAGAAATTACATATATATTTGTTTGATTGAATAGTTCAATCTTTCATACAAAAAAAAAAAAAATCATATTTAAGTTTACGAAAATGATAATTTCTCATATAAAATATTTTTTTGATTTAATTCTTTCTATTATAGAATTATGTCAATTTAATTATAGGAACTTTTCTTAGGATATATTTTAACTCAATATAATTTTTCTTTCATTAAATTTCTTCCTTAATCATATTTTAATTATGTTAAAAATATTTTTAACGTTTTACAACATTAAAATGCAATGTGAATTTGTTGACCGATAAACAATAAAGTCAACAACAGAACAATGATTGATAACTATTACCACAAAATAATACATTCGGTTGCAGATTGATTGAATAAAGATAAACATAATTGCCATGAAAATCTTTTTCATGGTTTGTCCATTTACATTTTACAACATTATTTTTCGTCATGGCGGAGATCTCGATAGGGTGGATATGTTTTTATGTGCATTAACTTTTAGTCTAATTGATAACTCCGCTGAGTCATGTGAATTGCATTTCTTCTTAGAAACATTTCTATTTAATTTCAAACAAGAGAATCTTAAGCCAACTTGCAGTATTATATTTCAATTTCCTGCAGAATGAAGATTAAAATATGCATGTAATCAAGTTCATCAACATCTTTTTTGACAAAACCTAAGCTGGAATCCTTGACACCATTGCTTTTCCATCCTTTACAAACCTGTTGGATCCATATGTCATGCCTGACTCCCCATCAAACTCACCTAAGGTATTCATAATTTGATTTTAACCGAATTAACTGATTGAATTGATTTAATTCAGTTAATCAATTAGTTATCCAATTAATTTCAATCAATTACTGAGTTAATTTCAGTTAGTTAACGAAAATGATTTTAAAAAAATTTTAGTTTTCAATTAATTTGGTTTGAAAACTAAATTAATTAAAATTTTAATCAAAATATAATATAATTCAAATATAAAATGAATAACACATTAAATTGATTATTTTATTTTATAAATTAGTCGAGTTTTTAATATAATATTTTAATATTTTATTAGATAATTTTATTTAATTTGTTTAAAATATAAGAAATTAAAAATTAAAAATATAATATAATTTAAATGTATTTCCTATTTGATTAATCAAAAAAATTAATCAACCAACTGAATTTAATTCGATTGGTAAATTTTTGAAATTAATAAATTTGATTCAATTAATGAAAATAAAATAATATAATTCGATTAATTCAATTTTAGATAATTTAATGTGAAATTAACCAAACTATTGAATCAACACTAATGTAAAACCAATTTATGCCTGAAAAAATGAACCTTTCACATTGCCATTACGAAAGGAAAAAAAGGCTTACCGATGACATTCACCATGTAACCCAACTAACAGTTAAAAATATAACAATGACAAAAGCAGCTTGACAAAAGCAAGAGAAAAGCCATGTCAGGTTCATTCTATTTGACCCCTTTTTTTTTTTTTTTTTTTTCTGTAAATGACATAAGAAAAACAACATATTAAAACTTCAAATTGGGATACAAAATTCCAGAATTGACCGGAAATTTTGGAATTGGAGAAGCAGCACAGCATAGACTTGTCTACATAATCAAGGCAACTCCAGAAGTTAATTAAAGAAAAAATTTCAGCTTCTCAAATTCTCAACAATCTTGGAGATTGCTGAGTATGTTCCGAAGGCAGATGAAACTAATCCCACTGCAATTACTATAACACAAAGTGTAGCCTATAAAAAAGAAAAGGAAAGATTATGAGAAAAGGCAGAAAGAATGCACGCTGGAAGATAAGTTTGAGATTCAAGCTCTAAAAGAACTGTTTATGGATTCAGTTTCCTGTTTCCTTCTATGTGCGGATGAAAAAAATGGTTATAATATTTAATCGGTTACTTTGTGCATGCGTGTACTTTGTATGCATGTGCTATGTTAAAATATAGATACGATAATTTTAAACAAAACATGGTAATATAGTATAAAAATAATATAAAAAAGATTTAAAAGCAATACGATTTAAATTTTTAGCAAAAAATTATATATGAATTTAATAAAAATATTTTTTTAAAAAATTGATTTGTTTTGACGTATTGATATAAATTATGATACATAATTTTTTATTTTATAAGTGTTAAACACGCAAATAAGCAGATACAAATACACAAATTGCCACTCTACTTAAATATGCATGTTTCATGTATTATGTGATTGTACCTGAATAAGAGTTACTTTACCCCTCAGGATGCTTAAATAACAAGCAGAAGGAAGTATCAAGGACTGCCATTGAAGTAATTATCAAAAAAGCATCAATCTTATGTTCTATGTTTGTCTCAACCGGGTAGCATTGTAGAAGTGATAGAAGAAGCTCCATGCTTAAAATGGCAGAAGGTAACTTACCAAAAGCATTGTGAATAAAGATCCTATCAATGACATTACCAAGCCTGCAACAAGGAAGAAAATTTTCCGATGATAATGTAGAAATTTAACCGATCGAATAGTTAACACTAACTGGATGATCCAACACTCCAAGTCAAAAGCCATATATAGAATCTGTAACCTTATGACTAAAGTGTTTCTATTAGTTTAAAGGTTAATATTTCGAATGGTTCTTATACTATAGTAAAATATTCAATATAATTTCTAAATTTAAAATTTTTTAATATGATATTTAAACTATAGATCTGTTAACTAATATAATACTTAAAAGGTTATTTGTCAACTTAATGTCATTATTTGAAGTTAATTACATAAATGGTAAATGCCATATTAATTAAAAGATTTATAGTTCAAATATCATATAAAACATTTTTAAAATTCAAAAACTCTATGAAACATTTTATAATTTAGGGATCATTTGAGACATTAACCCTTGTTCAAAATAACAGATGTGTTGCCATGAATATAGGTTTCTCTATGAAGATGAAAGGTAAATGCATAGACAAAGAATAAGAGGCGCTTACCGAAGAAGGGAATGATGAGACCAACAATCAAGGTTGAGATCACCAGCGAAGTTCTTATTAAGATAACGTAGATGTGAGAATTGAGATGGCTTGCTGGTATCAACTCCTCAAGACTCATTGCCACTGGAGACAAGGTTAATGCATATGTAATTGGTCTAATTAAGGCAAAACATTTTTTTCTTAGACATGAGAACACAAATGACAATAAATAGCAAGACATTGTTTAACTCAAGAGGAAATCATGAGTGTTTAGGATGATAACAGTTCTCTTGAGAGGGCAATGAAAGAAGGAAAATGTTAAGAAAAAAAAAGGGGCATGGAATTTATGATTATGCATTATCCCTCATTTCATAAAAACTGTCAAATTTTTGTGTGCGTTATTTTTGGATCAAAGTAAGCAATACGTCACAACAGGTCTTCGTACTTTGACACAAGGAAGCAAGATAAAAACCATTTTGGTTCTAAGTAGAGCATGTCTTAATGGAATTTGTCTTTGAACCCTTATCAAAGGATAGCTTTATAATTCATTACCTAATACTCTGATGTCATTGTAACCATGCTATATATAAAGAAAGAAAGATCGACTTACATAATGTAATTCTTTTTTAGTTTTTTATAATTTTCTAACACTTGATTTTAGTTTATTCAAGGGATGAGAGAAACAAGTAAAAATAAGAAAAAATAATTTAATCTTATCCCTTAGATCTATTGAAATCAATAATTAAAAAAATATGTAAAACTAAAAAAGAGTTACATTATATAAGTTGATCCCTCTTCATAAATAAAAGGATATTTGGTAAATGGGTTGACAACCTGCAAAAGAACAAAAAAAAATAAATGAATTGTAGTTAACAGGTGGGAAATTAATCACTAAACAAATGCTCATAAAATTCTATTTGAAAGTGTAAGCCCCGGAGAGTGATAATATCTAGCTAGGTGGAAAGGCTGCTAGACGAATTAATATCATGAGTATTTATTTTTTCTCAGCATCCCATATATGCAATTATTTTTACTTTTGTAGGTATCACCTTTAGAATATGCTAGATATCAGCTCACTCAATTTCTGTTTCTCCAAAATACCAAAAGGGTTTAAGGTGAGATTCAAACCCTAGATTTGTTGGATACTATCTCTTAAAGGTGATGATGTGAATCAATTGAGTTAAGCTTCAAGTTCATCGATGACATTTTCAAATATGTGCAATTCTACCAATCATTATAAGCGCAGAACAGTATGTCAAGAAAATCTGATAATTAGATGACCATACCGTTGTCCACGCAGCAATCTTTGAAGCAATCAGATCTTTTGGCATGTTGAGAGTGAACTGTGATTCTGTTGCTTCTCCAAACATTATGTACCCCATAATTGCAGTTCCAGCACACAACAAAGAACAGATCACAAAACTGCAAGAAAATTAAAACCAAAGATGATAAGATTAGCAGCATTTTTAATTACACAGAACCCCTTAGATGGAATAATGAGGTAGTTGGTTAGTGATAAACAATTTGTGTCCCTTTTGCTTACATTAACATAGCAAACACAATGCAGCACCTTATACAATAGTTAACATATTCATAGTTTAGATGTCATGTTAGAGGTTTTTAAAGTTCAAGAACCACATTGAATATATTTCTATAGTTTAGAGGCCGTTAAAGACATTAACCTAAAATTGAATTCAGCAGCAAATTTACCATACTGAGAGTACTGAAGGGAATTGATTTGGTTTCGCCATTGAGGTATAGATATTTGGAAAAACAGCATGTCCTTGATAGCAGAAACCATAGAGTCCAACAGCAACTGGAAGTGTAGACAGGTTCAATTTAGTCCCATCGTTATGAAAGCCGACTTGATCTACCAAACCAACCCAAAACAAGCAGAATACTACCAAGATTGATGCAACAACTCCACCAGCTGGAAACAGAGGAAGAATACACTGAGACAACGCGAGAGATAGCCTAGGGACTGAAATAGATTTGATAATTCGTATATTCATATAATGTAAAACACTGTAAATTCATGTATTTCTGTCATTTTTTACATAAAAATTACATGTCACAATTCGTATTAACATGAAAAACACAAACTCATATGATTTAAAATCTTAATATGTGTCACCTTCGTAGCTTTTTACATATTATTTTTGTTGTTTTACTGTATCATATATTTTAAATTGTCAGGTCTAGACTGTCTTATGGATTTTCAGTTAGAAAACACTATAGATCAGTATGTTTCTTACCAGAGAGATAACTAAGAACACTAAGGTCTCTGATCCAAACAGTGGGAAGAACAGCAAGGGTTGACATCAGTGCAAACAGACGTGGTGAGTTCAACTCAAATCTACCCAAACTAATATGTGCATTTGGGAATAAGGATGACAAGTTATCAGCCTCTAAAATTATATATTCAACACAAGCAGCCTGCACGGAAGATTGTAACAGTAACTTCACTGGTAAGGAGCGGAACATGTTAAAAAAAATCTATGGCAATGGCTACATTCTCCATGATATTAATATGTGATCGAGTAAATAATCTCTATATCGAATGTATCAGATGATAGCCGCATGTGATTCTAAACATAAAACATGCAAGTGTAAACGAGGCTCTTGGCATTGGCCGAACAATTTTGATCATATTATTCTGAATTTATACTTAACAGAACTTTCTAAATTTGCGTGGGGAAAAATATGTTTAATTTTTTTGCTGATATGTTTGAAAAATGATGCCCTAGGGCATATGTTGAAAATGTTATTATAGCCACTAGAATTCTTCTTTGATGAACATAAATAAATTAGAGACAGAAGTTAAAGCAAAAGGAACACAAAGTTAAAAAGTAGGACCCCTGTTGGAATCGTTGCTTGTATTTTCTCATGTCACCAGACACCATTGTAGCAGCTAGACAACTATAGGATTTATCACCAAATATTGTAAAATACTTAATTCTTTTAGAAAAGCCAGCTGTACTTACATATAGCTCCATGTATAAAATTATCTGCACAAAAAGCAAGACCCAAATTGACATCAGATCATTCAGTTTTTGTAAACTAGTGCCTAATTTAATTTGTCAATTTCTTGATTTCTATTAGATCTGATAATTTTAAATATAATATAATAATACGATAGAAAAATAATAAAAAATACCACAATTACATGGTTTATAATTTTAACAAAAATCATATATTAATTTAACAAAAATTAAAAATGTGTTTTGTGTTTAACATGTCCTATGAATTTTAACATGATAATTTTAGTGTTTTAGACATATTAAATACAAAATGAGACAAATACAGATATATAAATCACTAAATCTAATTTCCATTTGAAAACTTAAAAAAAAGCCAAATTATATAAAAATTCATAATTGACATAAAAAATAGTTAACAAAAGTATTAACCAAGTGAAGTTTTAACTTACCGAAACGGCAATTCTACCAGCGGTGCCAAATGCAGCTTGACCAATATCGGGGTAAGTTTCGAGCCCAGGTTTACTATCCAGACAATGGCGCAAAAGCAGTCCAGTGTAAAAAGAAAGCACTGCAAATGTGAATAATATTACAAGCCCCAACCATCCTCCTTCCTTGGCAGCATATGGGGTAGAAAGGATTCCAACTCCACATAGCACATTAATCCCTGCATAAAATTAAAACCAAATGTAAAATCCTAAGGAATGCTACTTTAATTTAATTTGGATTGAAATTCTGGAATCTGGTTTCAAATTTAAGTAAATGTAAATTTTAGTTGTTTTTACTCAATATTTATTGTCTAACCATATAAAATTATAGATGGTTTGATAATAATTAATGCATCTACTATCACTCTTACATAGACTTATGGGTTAAAGGCCTAGAAAAAAAGTCAGATTTGATTATGATAGTTTCATGTTGAATCATCTCGGATTCAGATCACATTGAAGTTTCATGTTTGGATCATTTCGAATTTGGATCACATTGAATTCAGGTTTGTTTCGGGTTCTAGTCTTTTTGAATTTGGATCTTTTCTGATTAAGCAATCTTGAGTTCATGTGGGATTTGGCTTTGGGTTAAAATATATTTGAGTATTACATTTTTCATTTTTAATGCTAAATTCGGTTTATTACAAGTCTTGATTGAATGGAAATGAGTTCAAATTATTTGGATAATTTTTTGTTCTGGTTTTTTCGAATTTAAGTTGACTCTTTTTGGTAAATTTGGGTTTGGATTCGGGTTTTTTTGTGTAGGTTTTCAAGTTCCTTGTTTTCTAAAATAACCAAAGCAATTTTGTTTTGGTTACAAACCTAGCTTTCCGTGGTGATTTTCTATTGGCTAAGGTATGCAAGCCACATAAGCTGAAAGAGGACAAAATAGAAACCAGTAATGGAGAATAGAGGACATAGCAGATAAAGCTGAGATCTACTTCAAGCCATGTGAAGAGGGGTGATGGTGACAAGCCTACCATGATTGGTTTTTGTGGTCATGAAAGGCCAACAAAAGATTAGAGTTGGTTGTTATAGTAACTTTTAGTTTTAGTGACCAGGATTCAAATCCAGTTAACAGTATAAAAATAGTTCAATTTACCATAGTTTCTTACAATGGGATCTTGCAAAGTAAACAACTTCTCAATCACATTATCAGAAATTTGGGAAATGGCCAAGAGTTATGTAAACTAACCATTTAGCACAGCTTGCCCATATGAGCTCTGGTGAGATATTGGAAGTTCATGAGACTTGGATGTTTCATCATCTACTCTTACAGATTGTCTCCTTAATGGGATCGGAGGTAGTAGAGAGTGAGAACTAATACGTCTTTGAGCCTGTATTTGATCATCAACTGTCGGTAGGAGAGGTTTTGTCACTGCAGATAATGATTCCGAAGTATGCCTTCTCGTTAATGATGATGAAAGAAAGGAAATGCGTGAAGGAGTACTCAAAAACCCGATTCTCGGAGATGGTATACTACTATACAAGTCAATAGACTGCCTGAAAAATTAACAGAAGCCATAAGCATTTGAAACTAAAAAGCAATGTCTCAAATAACTGATTAAACAGGCTTTTCACCTGATCCAACTACCTAATGTTATACAGATTTGAAGGTTCTATAACCGATTCTAAAAACAGTTTCTATTTTTTATATACAAAGAGGCAGCAGCATGTGAATAAGATTGTTGGTGCTGGGATTTGAATATCATATTTATTGGATATCATCTCTTAAGAATAGCTGCATACTAACTGAACTAAACTTCGGTTTAGTATTTGTTTACTTTGACTCCATGACTTCCAACTTATACCAAATTTGGCGAAGTCTTTTATACCAGTATATTATACTGCTATTTGTGATGAAAATATTTCTAGCAGCAGAAAGAAAAACAATTGACTAATCAAAATTGAATGAGAGAAAAACCAAGTTTTGTTATATATTATAGTTTAAAATCAATCATCAACCAACTGTTCTATAAAGCCCCATATAGGATACATGTTTCCAATATCAACAGGGTGCTTTAACATAATTCAATAATTGGAGATGGATTTGTAGGCCAAAGTGTCATAAACAATGTTAATGTAAGGATATGAAATCAGAAATGACCTGTAACTTTGAGGCCATAAAGTATTGTAGGAACTGGGTTTATTCGGTTGCTGGTTTTCAGCTGAAGAATCAGAAGCATCAGATTCATTTCCATCATCATTCCCTTCATGTCTGTTAAACATTTTCTCATGTTCCTCATCTTCACTCTCAATGTAGAAACTCTGATCCGAAACCGAATTCTTCATTCTCTTCAAAGCTTAATCTCCTACTGCAAAAATCTTAAAAATCTTAAAAACTCACACCATGTCAATTATAAGAAGGAATTGGATTCAAAAGGCAGTGAAATAAGAGGAAAACCCCACATATTAAATACCTTAGGTGGAAGTATTCAATTCTTCTCTGTGATTGGCTTGTTTTGGCAGGATGTTTGCACCTAAATAATGTTCATTAAGTTGCATGACATAATCACATAATAGAGAATTGCTATTAGGCAAGTTGTTCATAAATGGAAATTTGGTTTCATGAGTGAAACTGACAGCAACAATGGTCTGTAATTGTAAAGAATTCGAAGTATTGGAATTCAATTCAGTAATAATAAGACACTGATACACTCAAAATTTGAATTTGCCATATTTCTAAGAATTGAGTTTGAAGCTTTCAAAGTGAACCCTTTGAGTCTAGAACTTTTATGTTCTGTTTGGTTTGAGTAAAAAAAAAAACAACAAAATTTTTCTTTGATTGTGCAATGAGACTACAGAAAACTAAGCCAAAGTAAAAACTTTCAATTCTTTTAACACATTCCCTTTTTCTTCACCTGAGTTTTCTCAGCAACCAAACAGAAACTTTAGAACAGAAAACCAGAAAGAAACTAACGCTTAACATAACCAAGAAAAAAAAAAAAAAGAAACCACTAATTTTCCCAGAATTTTCTCAGCTAAACCATACAGAAACCAATTACTATAGTATAAAACATGTCTCCATATAAAACACTGCAATGGCTTCTTTAAAAGAAACAAAGGATAGAATCAGAATTGAACCTTTTTCTGAACATCTGATACAAAAACTACTCACCTCTTAACAAAAATTATCCTTTGATAAATTGTTAGACTCAAAGCTATTCCAGTTGAGAATATTGCATTACATTTGAATTAGCTAGAAAAAAAAGGTTTATTGTAAATCAGAAATCAAGTGAGTTCCTTTATTCCAAATATATTTGCAGTGTTTAGTGAGTTGACATTCAACTTTTAGCAGTTTTGTAAATCATCATTGAACTAGTTTTTCTGACCACAAAAAAAAAAAAAAAAAAAAAAAATATATATATATATATATATATATATATATAATCAATCTCATTCTAGAGATTCAGAATCCAAAAACCAGACAAAATTTTCTTAACTTCTACTTGTTAAGTTATAAACCCCATACTCCACAAAACTGTAGCCACTTTTAAATCATGTATGGGACCAAAAAGCAGTAATTCACTTATTTTCAATCTCTACACATGGAGCAGATGTTTTTCTAGTTTGTACTTCTGATGCTGTTTAGAATTTTTCTGTGATGATTGGAAAATTCATCTCATCTTCAACTAAAACTCAAGAAACCAACCAAGGCTTTTTTAATTCCAGGCCGCAGGATATATGTAGTCCAATGCCTGTCCTGCTATCAGTTAAGCATCCAGGTTTACGTGGTTTTTGAGCGAAGGCCTCTAGGTTTTTGGGTTTTCATGTCAATTACTTCATCGGTAAGGTTGAGAGTATAAGGCCAACATCCCAAACATGAATATTTTTAGCTTTCGGGTTTAAGATAGGTCTTTCTCGGCCCAGGTGATTGCAATTGATAATCCTTTCAAACAGTTCTTCAGTTGAGAAAGCCCGGGCCTAGACGCTACAGCAGTTTTACGCAGGGATGTTATTTTATGGAAATTTTGTTAAAAATTCGATTTTTTTTTTTAATTTTAATGAAGATAGGAATGAATATTAAACTTTAAAATAGAAATAGAGATGGATATAATTTTAAATTTTATATCGGATATGAGTGGGGATAGATAATATAACACTTTTCATATACTTATATTTTATATATTTATATATATTTAATAAATTAATTTTTTATTTAATAATAAATTTTATTTTAAATTAATTAGAATTAATATATTTGTATTTAAAATATATATTTATAAAAAATTATATAAATGAGTAAGATAAAAATTAAAAAAAGATAAAAAAATATTTTTATTTTTTAAAAATTACGAATATAAAAATCACCTATATCAATTAAATATTTATAGATCAAGAAAGAGATGAATTTAAAATATTTATTCAATATAAATAAGAAAATGATCTAATATAAAAAATCGACGATAAAAAATACTCTATCCATCTTATACCATACTCGACATTTCTACTTTATAAGTGAATCTAACCGGCTTCAAACCACCATTAATTAATTAAAAGCTATAGTTTTAGAGTCTATTTGAAATCTGATTGGAAGACCCTCGAATCTAACCAGTTTCAAACCACCATTAATTAAAAGCTATAGCATTAGGGTCTATTTGAGAATCTGATTGGAAGGAACTTGTTGCATTTAAAGGTGCCTTTTATTAAACAACTCTTGAAGCAAACTCTCAGATGCATTGACAGGTTTTTAATCAGACTTCCAAATATTCGTTTAAGACATTTACTGTTAGTGAAAAGAAAACTTTGCTGAATTCATTGAAAATATTCTTAGTTTACATGAAAATAAGAACAAATTACGAGCAGAGAGAAATAGTGACTGTAATCTCAAAATGAATTTTTAAATTATTTATTGGTAATACCAAAATTAATTGGGATTACCTACATGATATGAAGTAATCTTTTTGCTGATCGTATTTCTTTGCTAAAAAGGTTCAAGGCTTTGAATTTAATTAGGATTCCAAATAATTGCAGAAAACTTATATCTCATTATTTTATAGTCATTGGCTCGCATGATCCTTTGGCATTGCGATCTATCAATATAGCTTCAATATTAATTTTTATGAAATCTGATATTTTAAATCAGTTGATTCATTTAATTATTTTTAAAATATAACATTCAATAAATTTAAAATTTTAATTCTAATTCTTATAACATTTTCCTTTATCTTCGCACTTAGAACCTTCTGTGTAATATATATATATATATATGTATATATTTATATATATATATTAATCTTTATATGAATCAAAGCAGAGATACACCGTTAATGGAACCTGTTTCAATCAGAGAGCATATTTTATGTAAATGTAAAATGTGTAAAAACTAGTAGGATTAATCTAAAAGCCAGAAAAGCTGAAATTCAAGGCAATTATCATAAAAAAACTCTTGAGCTCTCATATATAGCAAATCAGTTGAAGATATTTTTGGTGAGGATGACGTAGAGCTCATTTGAAGGAGGTAGGAGGAGGCGCATGTGCATCCATTCTCTTCCGGTCGTTTCCTTCTCAACATTCTCTTTGATTTGATTGACTCGAACGTTAGAACGCGTTTAAAATTCTAATTCCGATGTTTTTGACCGTACTTCTTTGTCGCAAGTTCCATCCTCTTCCAAATCACTCACCAAACTGAGTTCCACGTCATCCTCACCAAAAATACCATCAAAAACCAAACATTAATGGCTTGACATATATAAATCCCACAAAGAGGCCTGTCAATTAAACTTCTGTGGTCTAAAAAATCGGCCGCCCGTACAATGAAAGGTTATGATCATTTGTTGTTATTTGAATTTCCCTACTGTATTTTTTTCAAAAGGGGGTAGGGGGGACAAGGTATGGTACTCTTGTTATCATCATACCAGCCATGGGGACCATTGAATTTCCTGTGTGGCCCCCTTCGACCAACGGTTCTTATGGCTGAAAAGAACAGGCAGAGTACAGATTGCCTTGGCGCCAAGTCCTAGTAAGTGCTACCTCAACAAGTTGAGTCGAACATACAGTAAAGTTTTGAAACCTCCATAATGAGTGGTTGAATTTAAATTTACTTACCGGTTCTTGGTAGAGTTAATATTGAATGCATGGCCTATGTGAAGCCAAGAATTAAGTGTACGTGCAGACTCACAGGCCACACCTAATATTATCGACTTTGATTTAAAATTTTCACGATTTATTCATAAAAAGTGTTTTGCAATGATAGATTTAAGCTTTTATGTATATTATAACAAATATTATGATTGACAAATGTTTTAATATTACTTGTGAAAATTCATAATTAATTTATAAAATATTATTTATTTTGATCTAATTTTTTATAATTTTATTTAAAAAATATTTCATAAATATAAATTTAAATCTCTTTATATATATATATATAATATACGTCATAACAAATCTTCACGTTCAAATTCTCAAGCTTCAAAGCATCCAACCTCCTGGATTTTTTAATTCACTAAAGATTTAAAAATAAAAAAAAGATCCCAGTGTACCAGCATTGAACTTGTGCTCTACAATTAGAGTGACCAGAAAATTATGGATTGGAACGGTGGCAAAAGGTGATGTACGAAATGGGGGGCCATAAATTTTTGATTCAGTGTATTTCTTAAATTTGGTATAAATAGCACAATATTATACACTGAAAAAGCTGCAAAGGATTAAGGTGAGGATGAAATCGAGAAATTAAAATGCATCGCAATCAAATAAAAGGACACATGGTACCAAGCATCAATGAATACTGGCAGATGCATTTCAAATTATACCTACCATTTTTTTCTTGGAGATCAGCAATGAGCTCAGTGCTGATTGGGATATGAGGCGACTATGTTGTGGGCTAGATTGATTTTATGTTTTTGCATGTTCTTTGCTGATGGAACTAAAAGACTTTGAGACTTTGTATATTTATGATGTATAAAATATTAATAATTTATATATTTATAAAATTATGTATTATAATTAATATTGATATAAAAAATATAATATATATTTTTATTTTTGTTAAATTTATATATAATTTTTGTTAAAATTTTAAATCATATCATATTTATATATTTTTAATATAATTTTTATATCATATTATTGTATCATATTTTAGTTTTAAATTTTTAATTGAAATTATTAAAAGTTTGGGAATAGTGAAATTGTTTAGGCTTTTTTGAGTGCTTTGAACCAGTTAATTTTGATAAAAAAAAAAAATTTGTAGCATATGAAAAGATTCCTGGAACAAGAAGGGTAGCATTCATTATTTTAAATAGATTTTCATGATAGATAGAAATAGTGTGATTATCATGCTTTTGCCTTGGGGAATTAATCCAGGGAGCCGATCAGGACTATATCTAACCTTGAAGGAATGACCCAGGTAAAGGAATTATTTGTCTAGGAAAAGAGCAAAATAAAGGGGACCAAGAAAAAAATAGCAAAGATGATTAACAGCCTGCTGACATCCATTTAACTATCTGTAACTTATTTTGAATATTTTTTTTTCTCATAAAATTCCATGAAACACTGAACAATTAAGCTTTTTTATACTTGAATATCCTAGAAGTTGCTTTGAATTCCTGATAGGAACTCAATACCATGGAGCTAATCAGGCAAGTTAGAAGTTGAACTGGATTGAACTTTCAAAGGTCTTCATGCAT